TGCTTATTTTTATCCTAAAGAGCTTGAAGGTTTTCTTTTTCAGAATGCAATTAAAAAAAGTTCCAATCAAATTAGAATTCTCCACCTCAATATAAGAAGCTTAAATCGGAATTTTAAAAAAACTTTTAAATTTATTAGAAGAAACAAAAAATCTATTTAATATCATTTGTTTAACTGAAACATGGGTTACATTAAACGATTTTGACAATAATTTTAATATTCCTCATTTTAAAATTATCTCACAAGAAAGAAAAACGAGTAAACGAGGTGGAGGGCTTCTAATTTATGTTCATGAAAGTATCTTTTATAATATGAGAAACGATTTAAGCGTCTCCGATGGCGATAAAGAAGTTTTAACAATTGAACTTTTACTCAAAAAAACAAAAACCTTTATACTAAGCTGTTGTTATCGACCACCTGACGGCGTGAGTGAAAACTTAAGCATGTTTTTACAACATATTGTGAATACCAGCGACGCAGAAAAAAAAAAGAGCTTTGTAATTGGGGACTTTAATATGAATTGTTTTCTTTATAACGATGAGTATAAAGTTAAAAAATTTTATGACACAATTTTTGAAACAGGGTCTATACCCTTAATTAATTGCCCTACTAGGGTAACAATAAACTCGGCTACCCTAATAGATAATATCATTACAACTGATATTTTTAATAAAGATATTCAAAAAGGTATTTTAAAAACTGATATATCCGATCATTTTCCTATTTCCGTTCATTTTCCTATTTCCATATTTCCGATCATTTTCCAATTATAAACTCAAATTTAGAAAAAAATATTAACACCCCTACAGTTGTAAGAAAACGTATCTTTAAACAAAAAAACTTTGAGCTATTTAAAGATCAACTATCTTTGCTCCATTGGAATCATATTGATTTTAATGACAATGCAAATAACATCTACGAAGCATTTTATAAAACATTCCAGAACAATTAAAAGTTGCTAAAGTTACTCCTATCTTTAAAGAAGGTGACAGATCAAATATTAGTAACTATCGACCCATTTCTGTTCTTTCGGTATTTTCAAAAATTTTAGAAAGAATAATGTCTAATAGAATATACAAACATCTCAACAAAAATAACTTACTGAAACAAACAATTTGGTTTTAAAAAAGATAACTCAACAGAGCATGCAATAATCCAGTTTGTGCATGAAATCTCAAAATCTTTTGAAAAATCACAGTACTTGTTATGTATTTTCATTGACCTATCAAAAGCTTTTGACACGGTTGATCATCACATTCTGCTTCAAAAACTTGAATATTATGGAATTAATGGTATTGCCTTAAAATGGTTTAGAAGCTATTTAACAAAAAGAAAACAATTTGTAATTAGTAACGACGGCTATCAAAATAATTGTCTTGATATCGTCTGCGGTGTTCCTCAGGGTTCAATCCTCAGGCCTCTACTTTTCTTGATATATATAAATGATCTGAATCAAGCTTCTAACCTTATAAGCATTATGTACGCAGATGATACCAATCTATTCCTCTCAAACAGTAATATATACGAACTCTTTACTACTATGAATAAAGAATTAAAACATATATCAAACTCGTTTAAATGTAATAAGCTAACTTTAAATATTAATAAAACCGAATGGACTTTATTCCATTCGCATGCAAAAAAGCGATTTTTACCAATAAATTTGCCGCAACTTTTTATTGACGAAATTGAAATAAAAAATGATTCCGTTACAAAATTCTTAGGTGTTTATCTCGATGAAAACATCTCCTGGAATCAACATATTAATTATATATCTACTAAAATTTCAAAAAACATTGGGATTCTATATAAAGCTCGTAACTACCTAAATAAAAATTGCTTAAAACAACTTTATTACTCTTTTATCCACAGTTACATAAATTATGCCAACACTGCTTGGGGGAGTACTGTAAAGAGTAAGTTAAAACTTCTTTATCGTCGTCAAAAGCATGCGATCCGCATAATTAACTATGCCGATCGTTTTACACACACAAAACCTCTTTTTACTGAAATAAGATTGTTAAATTTATTTGAACTCAATGTATTTAAAGTTTTATGTTTTGTATATCTATGGAGAAATAATCAATCCCCTACCGTTTTTAATAATACTTTCAAACTCAAACCTAACAACAAATACGACATGAGAAACATAAACTTTTTAAAAGAACCATTTTGTCACACAAAATTTAATCAATTTTGGATTGCTTATCGTGGACCCCACCTATGGAATAATATAGTTTTGCAGAATTTTGATTTACCAACTTTCTTTTACCTTTTCAAGCTCAATCTAAAAAAATGTATTATTTCACTTGATAATATACTCAGATACTTCTAATATTTTGAAAATTGTTACACAACTTGAATTCAGTACTTTCTTTATTTTAATTTTTACTTTATTTTTTAGTATCTTATACTGGTATTTATTTTGCTTGTTTGTGCTTTATAAGGTTCTGATGACAAGATCTTGTGATCTTCTTTCAGATCCTAGCTTATGTTTCATTGTAAGCAGTTTATGTATGTGTGCATCTACGCATTTGTATGTGTATATATGCTTATATTTATATATGTATGTCCGTGTTTTTTCTTATTTTAATTTAGTTGATAAATGTTGTAACACGAATTTAATTGTAACACGATATATATGGCATATATAATTGTATTTTGACATTTTAATGTAAGCAAAATTAAAAAAAAAAAGAAAAAAAAAAAAAGCGTTTTATTAAGTAATCTAATTTTTCTACGATATTTTCGGCATTATGTGCATCTGGAAATGAATCAAGTTTAACTAGAAGTCGTTTAAGCTGAAAACGCTTTGTAATAAAATGTAGAGTGAGCGATTGGAAAGCAAGGTTATTACAAGAATTCCAAATATCAGTAGTAAAGGCACAACCGTCAGGTCAATCTTCTCACTGTCAATAATTTTGTTCACATGATCAGTGATTAATTTATATAGCTTAGGAATTCTGTCCTAAAAAAGTGATTTTGATGAAACAGTGTTATACTTTTTCTTCGTTGCTTGTTTTATTATTTCATGAAAATATTTACTATCCACTATCCTAAAAAGTAATTGTTCGTGGGCAATCCACTTAGTCAATGATGTAACTATACTAACATTTTCAAAATGGTCTTTGGCCCATGGATTAACTACACGGGAAGTTTTAGAGACTTTAGCATTTTTTGACTTACCAAATGATGTTAAAAATTGAGAGTATGACTCAGGAAAGGCAACAAGACGAGCTTGTTTGGGTGTACAGATGAAATTGGTTTCTGAAGAGTCATCATCATCAATAACGCGAGACTTTTTTCCAATCTGTTGAACATAATTGAGTTTCTCATATGCCGAAAAAACGTGGCAGTGCTGCCCTTTAAGATGAATAATAAGACCTGAAGTAGTAACAGCTTTAGCAGCAAGTTCCTTTTCGCACGCATTACACTTTGTATGAGTAGTGTGAGTCATTTTAAAGAAATCCCAAATACAAGACTTTCTGGGCATTTTATGAAGAAAAGCAGCTTACACCTGAAAAAAAATATTCAAGTGTTTCATCTAAATTAAATCTTAATTTAGATGAAATTCTTTTAGAATATCATTAGTATAAACAGAAATTAATTAGGATAGAAATACCTCTGCCGAATATCAGTACGGGTAATAGCTAATATTTAACAAAATTTATTATATTGTTTTATTTCACAATATAATAAAGTTTGTTAAATATTAGCTATAACCCGAACAGATATTTTCATCAAGTATATCTATAAAATTCATATATATATATAATAAGTAAAGTAATAAATTTTATAAATTAGGTTTTCACCAGTGGCGAACTTGCCCACCGGCCCACCGGTGAGCCCCTAATATATATATATATATATATATATATATATATATATATATATATATATATATATATATATATATATATATATATAGTATATATATTAGGTAATATATATATTTATATAGTATAAATATTAGGTTATACATATATATATATATATATATATATATATATATATATATATATATATAATATATATATATATATATATATATATATATATATATATAATTATTACAGTTAATTATAAAGTTAAACTATTTTTAATTTCTTGTATATACTATTCAACTCTATTAAGTGCGAAATTCTCTAGAGAAATAGTTTTACTGTAAAACTAATTTCATGTAAAACTCTTATTTGACAATCAATAATGATCGTAAAACTTTACAATCGTTATTGATTGTCGAAGAAGAGTTTTACATATAATTGTCATAAGGGAATTGCTAAGGTTTTGCAATTGTTAATGATTTTTAGATACAAATGTAATCAATGATTTTCCTAAGGGAATTATAATTGACTTTGTAACTATTATTGCAATTGCGGTGCTTGAATTAATTAAAAAATGAATTAAATATTCATTTCAAAATTAAAAAAATAATAGTTCAACACAAAAACACACTTGATCAACCAGTTTACTAAAGCTTTTAGTTAACTTCCGCACTCGAAATAATTATTTAAAGGTGATTTTGATCATACTAATCAGCTGAAATGATAAGATTTGAAAGGTAGAGGATTAAATAAATTTCTGGATGATCAAGTTTTCTGTAACTTTTTATAAGCATTACTGTTTATGTAACACATAAATAACACTTTTGTGTTAGTCAGCTTAAAGTACCTCAGCGTAGTTTAACTATGCTGGTTTCCGATTTAAGTTTTACTAATTTCCCTATTAGGGCAAATTAGTAAAACTTAAATCGGAAATTTTAGCAAAATCCTAAACTTTGACAATATATAACTTAGGATGAGATAAAATACATGAAAAGGTATTTTTTAATACAGCTACTTCTGTTTGTGTTGAAAGAAAAATTATGTATTTATCTTTTTTGCTTAAACAGAATTTTAGATTTTTATTAAGTCTATATTTGAAATTCTTTAGGATTTCGTTCTGTCGCTTCAAATTGTTAAAAAATTGTAAACAAAATTTAAAAATTCATTAATTTAAACATGATTATAGATCAAGAGAGTAAGAACTGTTATAAAATGTCTAATCCAAATTATTTTTTAAAAACATGTTTTTTTTTTATTAATAATCGTAATGTTCTTCACCTATCAAGTTAAAGTACTAAAAAAAAGGATAAGTTAGTAGTTGCTACTCTTTTCCTTCTATTTCCTTCAAGAAATAAAATAGAAAATTCATCTATAATGAATTTTCTAATGTTTAAATGCAATAGTTTAAATAATTCCTGCAGTAAGCAAAGTCATAATATAAAAGAAGAATACAAGAATTTCACAGATCTGGAAATTATAGCTATAGTTAAGATTCTAAAATATACCGGAATTAGTGCCGTGGCTAGGGTGTCATTGCCCCCCTTTCTTTACTGAAAATCTGTCATTAGTGGCCTGTCTTTATTTGAGTTTTAATATGTTTGATTTGCAATTTTCGCCGTTCAAACAAATTTGATCGGACAAAATTTATTTGGGGAGATCTAAATATCATTTTTTCTAAAAGGAGACGATCTTTATTTTTGCTTTATTTTTTAAATGTTAAACTCATAACTCAGGTCACTATCATCATGTCAAAATCTGGAGCACAAAAGCGCAAAGAAAAACTACAGACAGAGAAGTTTCTGCAAAAAAGTGCAAGTTAATCACATCATTTTTGTCAGTACAACCACAATGTCAAGGCAATATTGAGTCGTATGTACAAATTACATCAGAGATAATTAAAGCACGAGATGGTAAAGATCTTGAGTCAAATTTACAGAGTACATCAGGAATTATACAAGCAAATGGTAGTCGAGATATTGAGTCGAATTTGAAGAGTACATCAGCAATAATACTAGCGCAAGGTGGGAGATATTGAATCACATTCGCAGAGTACATCTGCAATAATACAAGCACTAGGTAGTCGAGATCTTGAGTCAAATTTACAGAATACATCAGCAATAATACCAAAAAATGTTTTTTTAGCAAACATCCAATTCAACCACATGAACATTTGCCGTTTGATAACAAGATCTACCATAGACAAAAGGACTTGAAGGATAGCATACCGAGAAATTGGTTGTCATTTAGCCAAAATTTTCAGTCTCTATATTGCTCATTTTGTGTTGCATTTGAATCACCACAGTCTAACACCGTTTCATCATTTGTGTCTGGCTTCAAAGATTTTAGGCGAGTTAGCCAACGGGTTGCAGAACACGAATCAAGCAGCACTCACCGCAGGCATGTTCTTAATTACATTCGTATAATGAATAATCAAGATTTTGACAGATTTTATAGTACAGCAATAAAGAAATATAATGATGAAGTACTGATACGGAAACAAATACTTTCTTGAGTTATTGATATCATTAAACGTTTATGTAAGCAAACATTGCCATTTCGAGGTCATAGGAATGAAGGTGCTTATTCGTTGGACAATGATGAAGAAAATCATGGAAATTTTTTGGCTTTGGTACAGCTCTTGGCCAAATATGACTCACTTTTAGCTTCTCATCTCTCCATCAAGAGAAATCAACCAAAAGAATAGAAAAACTGAAGCGTCAAGGTAAAGCCGGCAGTAAAGGTCGCGGTGCTCTTGTTACGTTTTTAAGTAAGACTACTATATCAAAGCTTCTCAATATTATGAAAAATATGATGCAGGAACAGATTACAATGGAAGTATCCAAAGCAAAAGTGTACTCCGTACAAGTTGATTCTACACAAGATATATCTGCAATTGGCCAATTCAGCATTGTGGTTCGCTATGTTTTAGATGCTACTGTGCATGAACGGCTGCTTTCTATTGTACCAAGCAATGACGGTACTGGCCAAGGCTTGTTTGATCTCTTAAATTTGACGCTACAGCGGCTTGGCTTTAACTTGAAATACTGCCTATCGGACAGCACTGATGGTGCTTCAAGTTATCATGGCCAGTACAATGGACTGCAACAAAAGATTACAGAAGCTGCAGACCACCATGTACATATTTGGTGTTATGCTCATGTTCTCAACTTAGTTGTGAAGGAGGCAACCAGTTGCTGCATTCACGCATTTTCATTTTTTACCCTTTTGCAAAATGTTTTAACATTCGTAAAAGTGTCATATAAGCAAATGGCAACATGGATTAAACTTGTTGAAAGACAAATTGGAATGGATAAGATGAAAAGATTGAAATTGATTGGTGAAACAAGGTGGTCGGGTAAATTAAATGCTGCAACAGCGATATTTGGAACATTTGCTGAGCCATCTTCAACAGTGTTTGTCAATTTAATTTTATGTCTGTCATATATAAGCAAATCAAAAAATTTTGATACAAAGACACGTCATGAAGCTAAGACATTGCTCATGCCATTCCTGAAATTTGACACCATTTTGACTGCCTTTACCTACCTGCGAGTTTTTGAAAAAGTGGGACCACTTTCAATATACCTGCAAACTCGTGGATTAAATGTGTTGGTTGCATTCAAGATGGTGGAGAAGGCCGTAATTAAATTGAAAAGTCAATCAAGACTTTTTGATGATGTTCATAATAAAGCTCTTCAATTTGTACGAATGGCAAATGCAAGCATCATTCAGAGAACTGAAACCATATTAGAGGTAAAGATAGAACTACCAGCTAAACGGAAGCGGAAGACACCAAAGATGTTAGATGAATATACAGTAGACGAACGTGACGAATCTAAAGCTTTAGAACACTTCAAAATTCACACTTACAATGTGGTGATGGATCAGGTAGTCCAAAGTCTTGAGTCACGTTTCACTTCACATCGACAATTATATATGGACATGGTATGTTTTGATACATCAAACTTTGGTGATCTTGCCATTTCGGGAATTCCTGAAAACAGTTTACACAGCATTATCAAATTTTTACCAGATGCCGACGTTGATAAAATAAAGGCCGAATTGTTATCATTTGTCACTAACTATGAGACTTTGAAATTGCCCTTGCCCTTAACAACAACATTGAGAGAGAATGCATATCAAAAGGATGACATAGAAGAATCGCTCTGTTATCAGCATACAAATGGAGTATGCGGATCGTGTCCATCTTGCGTGTTACGAATTCTTGCTGCATATAGACTCAACGACAAAACCTATGACAATTTGTATCATATTAATAAAATAATATGTACTATTTCTGTAACACAAGCCGAATGTGAAAGATCGTTTTCTAAGTTAAAGTTAATCAAGACAAGATTGCATAATTCTATGTCAAATGACCACTTAGAGTCGTATATGTTGATGTCTGTAGAAAAAAATCTACTTGATAGCCTTGAGTATGATACGATCATTCAAAGATATGCATCTTCATCCTCTGAATTGAGCAAACTGTCTAAAGAATAGTTATTGCTATACTTTGCACTGTGCAAATTGCACATCACTTCTACTTTTTTAATTCAAAATAATTTTATTAATCTGTGATTTAATTGCTCCACTTAAGACTTATTTTTAGAGAGTTGCGGACTGGACAGTCTTTGCGATATATGTATGGCCGGGAGGGCCCTTTAATTATTTTTATGGCCGGTAATATATATACAGCCAGTCCGCCACTGGGTTTCACATTTCCTGTAAGTTTTGCATCTTGGGATTCCCCGTGTGAAACTTTGTTATCCCGGGATTTCCCGGAATAAAAATAATATAATAACAAACAAGCGGTTTCTGGGGAAATATTATATTAGCATACTAATCTTAATTATTTATTGAAATATTGCCTACCCGGAAACAAATTTTTCCCATAAGTATATTCAATTTTTTGATTTAATTTAAAGCAGTTTTCCGAAGAGAAAATTCTTTGCCCATTAATTTTTCTTTACAAAAATATTGCCATCCTTTCGCTACACTCACTTTTGACATCGTACAATTATTATGAATCGTGAAATAATCTTCTCTAATTTTGAAAAAAAAATACTGGTTAAAAAACTTGGTGCTATTTAAAAAAATATATTCTTTAAATTATATTTTTTGTTGAACTAGATTAAAAAAAAGGGTATGTATAGATAAAACTCAATTTAAAAAGAGGAATTAACACATAAAACTTATTTAAAAATGTACACATAAAAATCAGCACATAAAAGTACGGTATGGACACATAAAATTCCGCTAAAAAATATATTGGGTATATTACAAAAAAATTTCTTAATTAAAAAAAGCCTTATTATTATTATTGCAAAAAATAAAACCATTTAAAAACCTGAAATGATATTTTTGTTCGGAGTCGCACGGTTATACACAACTTAATTTGATTTATTAAAATGATAAAATTGCGTAAAAATTTACCTGTAAAGTTATCTTGTTGAAGATTAATTTAATTTAAATATTTCGTTGATATAATATAATATATTATATCAACATTTCTTTTGGACTGACACGTTTGAAATGCGATGAGTTTAAAATTAAAATTGATGCAATAAAAATTGAACTATCTTTTAATTCAGAATTTACAAAGCCTGAACAACAATTGCATGAGCTTGAGTTACAGAAAAAACAGCACCACAAAGATGCAGAAATGTTTTATGTTAGGAAAAGAAATGCTTGGTTTAAAGCACAAAGGGAGTACAAATTTGAGGCAATTGCTTTTGATTTCAAAAAAATCTTAACTTACCAAATCAATCAACCAACGACTTTTACTACAAACGAATATTAGCATTTTATTCATTTAATATTCACGTGCTTTCAAGCAATGAAGTTTATTTGTTTATATTATAGCTATTGTTACGATGAAACTATAGCTAAAAAAGGGGCTGATGAAGTAAATTTGATGATTTTTTTATAAAACATTTAAACAAAGAAATTTGATCTGTAGAGTTATTTTGTGATTCATGTGCTGGCTAAAACAAAAACTATCCATTAATTCGTTTTATGGATTTTCTTATTCATGAAAAAAAAAAAGGTTTGACTTTATTAAAGTTACATTTCCAGAACGTGGTCATTATGTTATGGAATATGATAAAGATATGGGATTTTTTAATTGCAAAACACCCACTAGTGATCCATCAGATTGGATTAAAACATTTAAAAATGCTCGTAAAAAACCCGCTCTGTTTCATGTTATAGAATTAACGCAAGGTATGGTTAAAAGTATAACTGATTTTATGAGACCATTTTATAAGAATAAATGTCCAATTCCAACTTGTCCTCTTTGTGAAATTTGTTTCAGAGAAGACTCAAGTGGCATTGTATTTCATCGTGATTCGTGGAATGGATTATTGTTGAAAACTAATTTAAAAAACAATAGGAAGAACTCTATAAATAGTAATCCCCCATTCTGTATAATGCAAAACTTTGCATCTCTATGGCAAAGTACAGAGATTTATGGCAAAGTACAGAGATTTACAAGTATTAAAAAGGTTTACATCCAATGCTCAGGTTTACAATTCTTTGCCATACAATCAGGAGGTTATCAAGAAATTACATGAAAATATTGATTCTGAAGATGAAGAGTAAATAGACTTCTTTTTTTATTTAAATTTTGTTTTTAATTGTTTTTTTCTTAATGTTTCTTGACAAATTTATAATCTTTAATATGTTTCTTCTTTAAATAAAAAAAGACATTTTACCAGGGAAAAAACGGCAGAGTCCATAAAAAACCTCACTTAAAAAAGAAAGCCTATAACGTAAATTATTATATTTAAATTAAAAGTACAACTTTAATTGCATATAAAATTAGTTCTTTTTGTAATAAATCTTAAAAATTTTAATCCTTTCCTTAAAAATAAAAAAGTTATATAGGTTTAAAAGTTTAAAAATGATTTATCGCAAAATGAAAAAATGTGACCCTGCCGTTTCTCCCCGTGGAGTCTTCATATAATAAGTAGAAAAACATTACTTATTAATTAGAAAAAAACTTATAAATAATGTTTCCTTACTTGTTTTATAAAGTAAAGTGACAGCAATAAATTGTGATAATTACAACAAATTGTGGTTAATTTCGTAGTTAAAAGATAAATAACAATAAATAATTTAACAATTAGGTGAAGTAGGGGGCATAACCGTTTTTCAACACTTCCTTTTGAAAAATGTTGTCTAATATGGCAAAAAAAAAACACAGCATGCGTCGGTAAAACAGTTTTCTTGATTTCGCTTAGGGGAAGTGTGGGCATAACAGCCTCTGTAACGTTTAAATTAAAGAAATATGAAAATTAAAACGACATGTGTATTTTTTTTTAACCATAAAACTTTGACATAAAAAGTTACGTTTTTAAGTCATTAAAGATTTTTACTTAAAATTTATATAAAAAGAAGTTTATCTTTTTTAAATATAATCTTCATTTACGTTTGCATAGATATAAAAGAATCTATTATATCTTAAATGCAGGACCGACGAAACCAGAGAGGCCAGGGGGGCACTAATCTCTGCACTTTTATTTTTCAGGACCTTTTTTTTTTTTTAGAAATGGACTCAGAAAATTGACAATTTTTTTAGAAATGAGGAAGTATGCCCCTCACTTTGAAACCCGTGTCGTCGGCCCTGAAATGATAAAATGTCATTTAAATTTTTAAAAGACGCGAATGATTGTACCTCCTTGTGTTTATATTCCGTTTTTTTACCACTTGTACTTTTATATTAAACTTATACGCCACCAGCGTATGCCAGTGGCGGCTTCGTAAATGAATCGTGACCTGCAGGTTATTGGTATAACATAACTCTGAAATTTCCTTAAAGAGTCTAACTCGCAATATTGAAATGTTTATTTAAAATTTTCAAATATTAAAAAATAAAATTTAATAACATATTTGTAAAATACAAATTGTGTTTATTTTATATATTTTTTTTGAAATTAATATTCGTTTAACGAATAAAATTCGCTTAACAAATAATATTATATAAACAAACAATGTTCGTTGAACAACTAATAATTCGTTTAGCGAATAAAAGTTAACCAATATATATTCGTTCCAGTTTATTTGGTCGACGAGTATATATATTCGAATATATATATTCGTATATATATAGTATATATATACGAATATATATATTCGTATCCTACGAATAATTTAAACAACTAGTTTTTACGAATATTGTTTAACGAATAGTTTAACCGAATATTCTCTAACGATTATTCGTACATCGATATTTGATAAACGAATAACCGTCGCGCTCTAGTTTCTACATGCAGTTTGAATCTTTAAATTCCCATATGTGCGGTTTTTTAGAGTTGTATTGTTTGATAATGTCTCCTTTTGAGCAAAACAATCTTCTCATCAACCGCCAAACTTTCTTCAATTAGAATACTGTTCAGTTAATTATTAATTGTCCTTATGAGAGGACGTATCTTGAAAAGTGTATCTTCATTGTCAGCAGTGTTGTTGTCAGTAACGCGAATAATGCTTTTTTTTCTTCAAAGCGGTTGACGGGTATAATATCAAAACATGCAAAAAAATTAATTGTGTCTCCTTTGTTACAGTAAGCAAAGTTTGAGTGAAATGCTACGTTGTTTGATAGTCAATCTCATGAAAAAGCTCTTTCAAAAAAATCGACAAAAATATGACAGTTTCGAACATAGACCGTTAAATAGTTCGTCTATTTGTTGCTCATAGTTAGCTTTAAACTAGTGGTCTTCTTGTTTATTCGGAAGCTTTTCAACTTTCCGCAATGGTTGAGAGATGCAGATTTTTTTGCATTGGTTTGCATCTGCTTTATTAGTCAGGGCCGACAACACGAAGGCCAGGGAGGCATAGAAACTTTCTTTTTTTTTTTTATTATCTTTTTTAAGAAAAATCTTGATATAGAGGAATTTTTTTATAAATTGATGATTGTACACCCCCCCCCCCCCACTTCAAAACCCGTGTCGTTAACCCTGTTGGTAGGTGCCACAACTGTTGCACCGTGTTTTAGACTCGTGAGTCAAAAATACATAAGAAGATTACGAATATGTACATGCTGCCACATTATACATATTTTATACATAATTATACATAAATATGTATTAAAAAAATTAAAAGAAATCTTGCTCAATATCATTTACCTACAATAATAAGTTGTTTACAGCCGGACGCAACTTTGACAAGGAATAAAATCAAATGTTCTAAAAGCAAAATCAGTTTTAGCGCTGTTGACACACTTACCTAGATATTATACGTTCAAAACAAGGATTATTTAAATTTAGAAATTTCTGCGCGTTCATTCTAAAATAAGCTATTAATAAACTGTATATGATGCAGTATAAAAAAGGGTAAAATATTCCATATTAATAAGAAAAGATAATCAAACCCGTCTGTAAACTATGAAATTTTCTTAATTTAATTTGAGAACGAAAGCCAGACAACTTTTATTACCATCTTTAAAAAATTTTTAGAGTTATTTTTACGGTTTACAGAGCAGAAATAAACAGGTAAGTTTCATA